ATACAACCGCCCCACATTTGGAGCCCCCACAACCACCCTGTAGGGGAACACAGCCAAATATGGGGCAGTCCTACAGCCAACGGCGATTTGGGGTCACATATAGGGCCGTGGATCCTTACCGTCCCTCCGGCAGCGTCAGCACCCCATAACCAAAGCTGGGGGTCCCCGCGACCTCCAGGACCCGCTGTGGGGTCGGATGGATGTTGAAGGATCCCATAGGGGAGAACAGAGCTTGGGGGGGGGGGCACAGTGGGGTCACCATGGGGCCAAAGCACCCCATAGCACCCTCCTGACCCCATAGCAACCCCCATAGGACACCCCCAAATATGGGATCCCCCCTCACCCCCGAGCACGACGCCCATAAGGGCGGTTATAGGGCCGGCCATGGCGCTGCTGCCACACTGTGGGGCCGCCGCTTCCTTCCGCCCCACAACGGAAAAGGATGTGGGTGGTGGCGGTGCTGTGCAGTGCCAATGGGGCCACAAAGGGGTGGGCCGGAGTCTGTAGGGGATGGTGGGAGCTTATGGGGGGCATAAAGGATGTAGGGCTCTATAGGGGATTGTGGGGGCATGGAAGGCAAGGAGGACTTAAGGATCCGTAGGGGGTCAGGGGGGTCTATGGGGAATCGCGAGGGTATATGGGGGGGCATGGAGGACAAGGGGGACTTTGGGGTCTGGAGGATTTGTGCGGGGTTATAGGAGGAGAAAGAGTCACATTTTAATGAGAAAACAAGTATTTCTGGGAGAAAAAAGCCGTATCTCAGGGGATAAACAGGTATTTCTGGGAGGAATTTCCATATTTTCGGTGAAGTCCTGTATTTCTGGGAGAACAGGTCACACTAAATCCAACCAAATCAAACAAGGCGAGAGGGAAACAGCGACAAACACGAGTTTTTACACAGGGAAGCTCGTACCTCTGCTTCGGTCCAGCCAGGAGCTCCACCTTCCCTCCTCTGCACTCCAGGAACGCTGCTGCTGCTCCTCCCCTCTGAGAACCCAAATGCCCGTAAAGGCAGAACAAGGACCAGCACTCGAAATCTTCAACTCACTTTACGTGATGTTCTGAGGCAGAACACCAACAACAAAAACCACAGCACCACAGCAGAGATCCTTCCCCAGTGGCAGCCAGCCCTTAAATGGGGTCTAGGAGAGCTGCAGCCAGGCTCCACCCTTCCATTCACAGCTGAATGCCTTCACCTGTGCTCCCACAGCTGACTCAGTCCTTGCCTCAGGTGATCAATCAGTGGTTCAGGCCCTGACTCAGCAGCTCCCATTCGCAGGGCTGTGAATTGACAGCTGAGTGTCCCTGGGAGCTGTGGGTGTGCAAACAGCACTCTGCATTGCCAGCAGTGATTTCAGCCTTTGCTGCTGCTCACACAGATCTCAGCCTCTGCTGCGCCAGCACTGAGATCTGTGCTCCTCCATCTGTTAGAAGAGCCACCAACTGGCATCGAGGACAGACTGGGACCAAAGTGTGTGGCTGTGGCAGGTCATGCAGCCATAGGCCTCCCTTGGCAGGCATTCATTTTACTCATTACTTTTGTTCTATGGCCATACAGGCACTGTGAGGGCACGGCCCAAAGCTGTGATGGAGCACCTGGGAGGGGTGCAGCCCTACAAGCACAGCTGGGGGCAGTTCGGCTGTGGGTGGGGCTGAGCCGGGCTCCACCCCTCCCTGGCCCCATTTAAGGGCTGGGAAGCACAGGGGCAGCATCTGAACTGGGGAGTGCTTCCCTGAGAGCCTGGGGTGAGTCTTATTCCTTGGGATGGGTGATCCTTTTTTATTGCAGGGCTGTGATCTCTCCCTTTTTTGGGGCATCCTGACTGCATTGGAGGCTGGCAGCCATCTGTGCCTGGAAGCTGCTTCCTTTAGGTGTGGGTGAGCGTTGGTCCTTGGGATGGGGTAAGTGGCTCTGCTTTTATTTTGGGGCTGTGATCTGCCCTTTTTGGGGGATCCTAACTGCGTTTAAGGGCTGGTAGCTGTAAGGGCAGCGCCTGAACCTGGAGGCTGCTTCCTTTGGGGTGTGGGGGAGCACTTAGAATGGGGGGAGCGATTCCTGCTTTATTTCAGAGCTGTGAGCTCTGCCTTTGTGGGGGGCCTCAAGCTGGATTAGAGCAGCTGTATCTGCTATGTGTGTTGTTTTCTCTTCAGTGCTTCTCACCTCATAATCTCCAATCTGGGTCTCCAAAGGTGGCTTGTCTGCTCCCACATCATCCTGCTTCATGGCTGTGATGCACAGTGCCACGTGTTAATTGAACCAATGTAGTCTTTTAGGGGCATTCTGTGTATTAAATTATGTTCTGTGTCTCTTCTGACTTCATTTCCCAGCTCGATGGGGTTTAAGGGTTCCCTGTGCTCCTCTAATCAGCGGTGTGAGATCTGTGCAGCAGGTAATGAACACCGTGAGCCCCATGTTGGTGCTCTGCTTGTGTGCAGGTAGGTTTGCGATGCGGTCCAGCTCCTCACAGTGAGCATCCACAGCTGGAGCAGGTTGCTCAGAGCCTGACCCAGCCTCGCCTTGAAAGGGGCAGCGCATCCACCACGTCTCTGGCAACCTGTTCCACTGCCCCACCACCCTCACTTGGAAGACATTTTCCATGTATCTAGCCTCATTTTTCCCTTGTTCTTTCCTTTAGGCATTGAAAGGCTGTTACCAGGTCACCTTGGAGCCTTCAGGTCTCCATGCTGAGCAGCCCAGCTCTCTCCCCTTATAGGAGAGGTGTTCCGTCCCTCGGTTCGTATCTGTGGCTGTGCTCTGGATGTGCTCCCACAGCTCCACGTCTCCCTGCACTGAGGACTCCACACCCAGATGCAGCTCTCCAGGTGAGGCCTCACCAGCGCAGAGCAGAGGGGTGGGCATCGCCTCCCTTCGCCCGCTGGCCGCACATCTTTGGATGCAGCTCAGGATACGGTTGGCTTTCTGGGCTGGAAGGGCCCATTGCTGGTTTGTGTCCAGCTCCCACCCACCAGTACCCCCAAGGCCTTACGGGGCAGGACTGCACTCAGTGCTTTCATCCCCCAGCACGTTTTGGTGGTGGGTGTTCCCTCATCCCAGCTGCTGACCCTGCACTTGGGTTTGTGCCCCTACTCAGCCTGTTGAGTCCCTCTGCATGGCATCCTGTCCTCTGGGCTGTCACTGCATCCACAGCTTGATGTCATTAGGGTGCACTTGATCCCACTGTTGATGTCACTGATGGGGGCAATCCCAGATGTTTATACAAACTGGGCGTAGAACCCCTTGAGAGCAGCCCTGGGGAGAAGGACTCGGGGATCCTGGTGGATGAGAAGCTGGACGTGAGCCAGCAGAGTGTGCTTGCAGCCTGGAAGGCCAACTGTATCCTGGGC